GCAGCAATGCACAAGAGGCTTCCGGACAGGGACCGCCTGAAGGACCCGAACAACGGAGTGAAGTACTTCAAAAGTTTCCTGCGGCCGCTCTTCGTGAAGGGAGCCGCCAGCGTTTTCTTCTACCGCTTCCAGCAGTTCATGAACTTGCACCGCGGGAATGGAGACATGCTTCGTTGGACGTTGGATTACCAGGTTTCAACTTTCAACTTTCTGTCAGCAGAATGCAAGAGGCGTGGAACGACACCTACATGCCGATTACAGACCCGAACAATGCTGAGGTCCGAGCGTTCATCACCGGACTTCCCGAAGAAGAACAGGCAGACATCACGCCAGAAGAGGCGATGGAAAGAGCCAGCAATCGGCTCAGAGATCAGCACCCGCGGACAATACCGATGACTGCCAATCTCGTGGCTCTCGTCTTTGTCTCTCTGTCCGACCTCACGCAGGATCAGCGACAGGTGCTGACATCATTGATGGCACATCGGAACCGCGTGCTTACAGATTATATACAACACCACCGAGTTGCGTTCACAAAGACTACCGTCGACAATCCTCTCCTCGCTCCTTCAGGCCACGGTGGCCGCAAGACATTCCTGGTGATTGACGAAGGATATTTGGACAATCATGAAGGCTACTGGGTCGAAGACGAGGAGGATGGCACAGAAGGGTTCCTTGAGGTTGATGAGGACGCCTTATGGGTCCATGACGAGGTGAGTTAATCATGGTTTCAGCTTCCAAGGTCGCCGGATGAAACGCGGATTAAAGGGCCGTCGCAAAGGAAAAGGGAAAGGCGGCCAAGGATCCAGTGGAAAGCGTTTCTTCAAGCGGAAGAAAGACAGGGCAAACCTTGCCGCTGATCATCCCGACTCATGGCAGCCAGATGGACAGTCAGTGGCAGGACGCATCCTGGGATGATTGGTCCTGGTACAAGTCTGAGGAGTCCTACGCAGGCAAGGGAAAAGGACACGGAACAGGTAAGAACGGCAAAGGAAAGGCAAGTGGAGCAAGGAAGGAAAAGATAGTCACCAAAAGATGGACAAGCTCAACTTGCAGATTCTGCCCAGAGCAGCACTACAGCTGCCACAACCTTCTTCGTTCACCACGTCAACCCTTTGAACTTTTCTTTTTCATGGCCACCGAGGAGAACATCGACAAGATCGAGGAAGCGTTCATCTCTCAGCGTTCGACTCCAACCGCGATGGTGTTGGACCTAGGATTTGCTTCCAGAGTGGCCGCGCAGGACCCGTGGCATATGGTACACCATAGCTGAGACTACGTCTCAGTTCACCTTTGCCAACTCCGAGTCGACCAAGTGCAAGCAGAAGTTGATCCTTTGCATGTACGACCGTGAGTATGCAGTTCAATCGACGGAGTTTGACATTGTGGAACAGGGACATGCGCCGATTCTTATGTCCCTGCCGCAGAGCACGGTTTTCACCAGAAGACTCTGGGAAGCTCTTCACAGGAAGAGAAACCCGAGAACCTCGTTTTGGCGACGGGCGATGAATGGGTGATCAACGAGGCCGACATGGAGATGATCCGTATCCACAAGAAAATGAGAAAGGCAAAGTACGAACCCGAGGAAGGATTTGTGCCCATTCTGCTGGAATACCTGAACAATAAACGCAAGACGATTATGGAGTTCTCCAAGGGCAAGAGTGTGACTCAAGAAGATGACTGGCGTTCTTCTGAGCATCCTACCGGAAAGAGTACTGGCTCTTGGAAGGGTAGGACGAACTTCAAGATTCTGCCTGGAGGTATCGAGAGTAAACCCTCTAAGACCCGAGATCCTGGCCGGAGTCAGGTCGGATCGCCAGAGGAATTGGTTAGCAAGGCCCAGCCTGAAGACAGCTCAAAGGAAGACAGGAGCAACCGGAGGCTTCCCACCAGGGAAGGAAGCGGCTGGGCGGAGAGTCCGGCTGCTCCAGCAGCTCCTGAAGATGATCCGGATCTTCGAGAGTATGCACCGTCAGATCCAGAGGAATCCGATCTGATTCCTCCGAAGGCCTCAGAGGTTCCATCGCAAGGGCTAGAACCTAGGAGGATTGCGCTTCCGTTGCCTGGCCAAGAGGTCTCAAGGGCCTCTTCGCAGTATCAGCGCATGTTGGAAAAGTTGAACAACGATGTTGAGCTTTACAAGCTGCATGTGAAGCATTACCACATGGGTTCAGCTCAGTTTCGACGAACGACCAGCATGCTTGGGCTGCCAGGAGAGATCTACGACAAGTACGACCGCATTGTCAAAGGGGTTGTCGTGTCTGTAGCACCTCGGTGCCAACACCTCCGCGAGCCAGAATCGCTGGATTGAGAGCATCCTCTTTCGGCGATCTCATTTTTGTTGATCACGAAGGCATCAAATTTGGAACGAAGGCATACCTTGCCTTTGTTATCATAGATGGTGCATCCAACCTCCTGTGGGCTACGGCTCTCGCGAGCCTACAGCCAAATCGTGCCGAGACCGCAGTGCGTTTGTTTAAGCGTACATGGTCAATTATGGCCAAGGCCTTATGTCAGATATCCGCATGAAAATGGCACACCAAAAGACCATGCTCGCAAGCCCTCTTTTGCATGGTGGATTGGTGTGGCTGCCGACTCCCGGGATGTTCCTTCGGTCGAAGACCTCAGACAAGAATGAGGCCGTTCCGAAACATAGGAGGGTCCCCTCCTTCAGGGCCTACGGCACCTGTGGATCGGGAACCCTCCTTGTACAGAAAAGAGTTCCAAAATTTTGTGCCGTCCAGAAAGAAGCCTGTACAGGAGGCAGCCACATCCTCACCGGGCGCCCTGCGCGGGCCCATGGGTGAGGTCAGAAGGATCATCGAAAATACGATCTTCCAAGATAGAACGGATGAGGGAAAAATGCTTGAGCACGGGTTCCACCGGCAAGCAGAGAGATGGAGTGAAACCTTGAAAGTTGGGATGAGTCAAATCATCAGCCCACGTGTTGAAGTCACGCTTGACGTGGGAGGGAGCAAGCTGCATACCATGCCGGTGCAGCTGGTACAGTTCCTCCATGAGGATGACCGACGTTGGCATCCTCTTGGACTTGTCGTTCAGGAGCGAGTACACATTCCCTTGGTTGTCGCTGACCAGGGGGAGCCTGAGGTTCGGGATGAACGCAGGCGCCTTCTCCATGAGAAAGTGAGAAAGGATTAGGGTGCCGAACATCTCGAGGGCAGCAATGCGCTTTTTCGGGCAGCCCTTGTCAAAGGCCCAGGGATGCCTTTCTGCAGTGACTTGGTAGTGGAACCAGAAGACCTCCGACTTGGACGGGGACTCCACGTTGGAGAGCCAGCCGCCAACATAGGCGCTGCCATCATCTGAAGCGCTAGCGTCACTTGCCCCCGACCAAATGGCAAGCGGGGCATACGGCGATGCTTGTCTGAACTTCTGGTCAAAGAGAGAAAGGAGCAGAGCTGAGAGTGCACGGATGAGTTTACCCGGACGTCCTGCAGTCAAGCAGGCCTTCTTCCAAGCCCAAAAGGGTTGGAGAAACGGTTTGGTGAGGGGGCAGGCCGTAGTTGCCCACTGCAGCCTACCCAGAGCACTAGCGATCTGAGAAGCCGACATGACTTTACCGCTTTTAAGCTCTTGAAGGATGCCGGTGACAAGAAGATGCTTGTCACGGGCCATCTGCACGCAGGGTCCTTTTGGGTCAATGACAAAGCCAAGCCAGGTATTGACCTCAGCAAGCAGGGTCTTCTTCCAGCTCAGAGGAGTACCGAGGGCGAGCAGCAGTAGGCAAATTGCTGTCGCCAACAGGGGGGAGTTCGATTTACGGAGTAGCCAGGCGAAATCGTCGACAAAAACAAAGCCCCAATCAACCTCGGGAAACACAGCATAAACGATCCTAAGAAGGATGGCAGCCATCCTTCCCCAGTAGAGCTGGGCACTGGCCATTCCATAGGTGCCCACGGTGTTGACCCACCATTCCTCACCAAGCTGAGCCACTTGGTAGCGCCTATGGTCGTTGCTTCTGGGACCGGGTTGGGGGTACCTCCCAGCTTTTCGGGGGCAAAGCGGTACGAGGTTCGAGCCCCAACACCCGTTGGCAACACTTTACATCCATTGTGCTATGAACTGGGGGTCTGGGTGCCTGAAAAAGAACAGCATTTTTGCATTGTGCAATCACCCAGGGGCCGAACGTTTGGTTTTCGTCTCGCTACCTTATATTTTTGTTTACATCTCCGAAGCACACCAATGCCCCCGTCCCAGAAGAAACACACGTGCCTCGAGTATGTTAGTAGCAGCAATGCCACTCTGCCCACTTTCGGAAAGTCGTTTGTGTAAATTCCGGCCCATGTGGTCTGGTTGTGCCGTGCATTTTGCATCGTGGTTTACACTTCCGTTGACCCACCTCCTGACATTTTTCTTCGATCTTTCGTGTTGCAAACGTGAAAGAATTCTCACGGGCACGAGACACAGAGTGTACCCATGTTGTGTGGTTTGAAGCAACTTTCGGTGGTACATCTCTGCCTCTTCTGTGTTGGTGCAGTTTTCAAAAGGCTTTATAGTACCTGGCCCAAATTTCAGGGTGAATGGAGTTGGGCCTGAAAAGTTGTCAACAATAACCTGACGTTTCCAAGATCAAAGCCTCAAAGGGTTGCAATACTAGTCAGGCCGCCTCTGCTTTCCCACAGCGATACTACATGCCTTGTCTAATACAATCACACATGCCAACAAGCTACGATTACGAATGCAACAGTAAGAACAAAACATAAAAAACACAAAAACCCTAAACCCTAAACCCAAACACCGAAATTAACACTTGAAGCACAGCATGTTTTCCGGGGCGCAATCTGCTCTCGCTTGGCCACTATGGCTTCAAACTATACACGCCGTGCTTTCCTCAAACCTCAAACTGAACAGCAAGTGTGAAGAGTTGGGGCTAAGGTGCAGCACAACTTGTTGTCCGATCCAAAATCTGCGAACTCCGGGTCGCAAGCTGCTCTCTCTTGGCCATGTTGGGCTTTAAAAAGGGCCTCCATGTTGTCCAGCCCCTAATTATCCTCAACAGTGTCCTCCACTTGGATTGTTTGGAAGATGCGATCCTCCATGTGAAAAGAGGAAGTTCCAAACAGTGTTCGCATTCCGTCTGGATTCACAAGCCCAAACCTTCCCGTACTGGCGCCGGTGCCATTCCTCTGGGCATTGTTCAGCGCCTGTTTCAATTCGAGGAGCTGGCCTTGGAAGTAAGTCTTATTTGCTTGAAGCGTGTCCACGCGGCTTTGCAATCGTTGGTTTTCTGCCTTCAGCCTCTTGACCTCTCTCTCGGCAGTCTCCAACTCTTGTTCCAAGCAAACCTTTTCCAAATCCTCGACTTCACCGAACTGCCGTCTGAAACTTCGTTTCAAAGGGGGGGGGGCAGGGTTCGGATCCGTTTCGGGGCTTGTGGGCGGAAGCATGTCCAGTCCCACGGGGGAGGCCCAAGCCTCCGTTTCCGGAGTCAGGAATGGCAGTGTGTCGGGCACAGGTTGGGTATCATCACCTGCAAGGCCAGGAAACATCCTTCTGGCCACCGCAGGGGAGTTAAACATCGGCCGGGATCTCTTCTTGATTGGGGTACTCGGTGGGTTCGCACGGGTGTCGCCCGACTGGCCCACCTTTCCCATCAGACTCATGGAGCTCATGGCACCACAGAAACAGGCCGGGAGCCTAAACAACTGGAGCACTTAAACACAACTGCAGACTGTGGCATTTGCTGCATGTGCACACACACATACACACACACACACTGCACTGAACTACAACCCTAAACCCTAACTTAGAAACCTACCCCTAAAACCTCACTGTCCAACCCGACTAGAAGAACCCTCATCCCCGAACCTCAAATCGGAACCGCATAAACACTGAACCAACTTTCCAAGTTGTTTTTCCTTGCTCTTATGCTGGGATCTTGTGCGAGTCAAAATCTGATTCCCAGCAAGCAGTCTGAGAATGGCATCAGAAGAAGCTGGGATCTGGGATCTGGGATTCGGTTCGGCCCGCATGATCTGCGGCGGCACACCGTACCTCGAGCGTGGCAATCATCACGCTGATGCTTGCAGTGAGCCGCTGCTCATGCTGGCTGACGGGCTTGGCCCTACTTCAGCTCGCGCTGGCTCCGTCCATCTTCAAATACTCCAACATTTTGTGCATTCGGCTCCCTTCCTGCAGATTCCCTGCCGACTCGAGTGCCTTCAAGTACTCCTTGGCACAGGGCAGGAAGCATTCACGCCCCAGCAATTGGCGCACTGTGTGCACGTCTGCATCACCTGCGATCTCGAAAAACACCGTGTCGGGAGGCAGCACCATGCTGCATTCGGCTTCCAGCTTGACGACCCAGCCGTCTTTGTTGACCATGCGTTGGACATCCGGTGCCTTCAAGGCATCCAACTCAGCTGCCTTTTCCGCCTCTGTGCTCCCCTTGAGCACTCGCTGGCGAAACCCTCCGATGGTCAAGCAGCCTTCCACCACCACCACCAGGGTGGGCAGGTTAAGATCGGTGCGGTAGAGAACATTGCAAGTCTTCTTCATCCGCTGTCCGAACTGGACCACGAAATAGTCTTTCATTTCCTCCGGGATGCCCGTGAGACAGGCCCGCTCCTCTGTTCCGCCGTAGATCTCTGACCAGGACCGAAGCAACACATCCCCCAACTTCTTCACCACCGGCTTCTTGCTTATCATCGCCGTGCAGGAGGAAGTGTTCGCACTCTTCATTTTTTCCGCAACCCAGGATTTTTGCAGTTTGTAATATTCCAGGCTCTGGATGGTCGCAATGAGCTGGCTGCTGCGTGCTTTTTCGAACACGAGCGGGGAGTTTCTCTTCAGCAAGTTCGGGGCGATGTAGGAGTAGTCCACGGAGCCTGTCGGCTCCAGGGTGCAGCCGCATAGATCGGCGGCAAGAAGTGCGAGGTTTTTCTCACCACCGGACAGCTTCTTGTTGGCTGATGTCTTTGCTGCTGCTTTCTCCCGGTCGTTGATGTTTTTCTTCAACTTACCATGCCAAAGGCGCAGTTCTGTCAGCTTGTCCTTGACAGTTTTCAGCTTGGGCTCGGCAGTGTGGTAGCCCTTAATGAACTGCTGGATTTTCTCGCGGCTCTCCGCGAGATCCTCTGGGCAGGTGCTGTTCTCCCACTCTTTCCACTCAAGGTCCTTCGCTTGCATTGCCTCCTGCACAGAGGCAAGCAGCTGCTCGATCTCCTTCACTTTGTCGCTCCTTTCGTCTCGCAGATCCTGGCTCTCCGTCTCCAGGGTCTTGCCCAGCTCCGTGTCCTGAGCCGTCAGGCTGCTGCGCAACCGCAGCACCACGTCGCTCATGGACTGGATGGCCTTCTTTCGAGACGCCTCGAAGGCGAGCTTCTCCAGTGGGAGACTCTTGGGCTTCTTGTCCTGCTCCTCTTTCTTCAAGGCCTGTTGGGCCTTTTTCTCTGCTGCAACTTTCGTGGCAAGGGAAAGCAGCTCCTCGTCCCTGCTCTCTTCGATTTCTTTCAGCTGGCCGATGTCCTTGGACACCGTCAAAAGCGGCACCGGCTTCTCCAGCTCGGCCTCCCCGGCCTCGAACTTGGCCGCAGTCTCAATATCCAACCGTTGGCGAGCTCGCTTCATCCTGCTCCCGCTCTCCTCGTGATACTCGTCGAGGTCTTCCTGGGAGCCGATGTCCATGCGCTGTCTCAATCCCGCTCGCAGTCCGTGGGAATCACGTCCTCTCAGTTCCACTCCCCGGAATTGATACATGAGTGTTTCACCATGCTTCTGCATGGTCCTCGTGTTCGGGTCTTTGATTTTCTTCTCCCAGGCCACCTTGGCCTCTGCAAGAGACGAGAACGTTTTGAGGGTGAGTTCCTCTTGTGCCCAGGTGCGGAAGGTTACGAACTGCTCCAAATCGTCCGATATACTGGTTTTCTCACGGACGTCTTCGACAGATCCCACCGCGGACGAGAACGTCCTCTTTTTGGACTGCTCCTCCTGGGCACGCTGCAGCTTCTGGCCTTGATACCATTGAGCTCGCTCTTCTGGGGACTTCTTCTTGAGGTCCTCTTTCACCTGGATGGCGGACAACCGCCGCTCCTTGTCCTGCTCGGTCTCAGTCTTGCCCACTTTCGGTCTGGCGCTGGCACGTGTCAACCATCGTTCCGTCGCCAAACAGCCGTTACAGGCTCGAAGCAACGGGTTGCGGCCCGTTGCCGAGCTGCAACTCATGGTCGTGGGTTCCTGACATTTTTGACACACGAGGGGTGCCGACGGTGTGGGGGCAGCTGCCATGGTTCCTTGCTCAACGTGCCGGAGTGCAACAGGGCAGCTGTGATGCTCTTGAATATGGCTATATTAGCCAAGGGCATGGGTTCCGGATGTGCACGAAGAAGAACAAAACCATACGAAAAGCATCCGAGGAACACGAGAGACAAACCTGTTTATGGGCCTGCATGTAGTCAGCTACTCTCCAAATTTCCTGCGAAGTATTTCGAGGAGCATGCATTCGAATTGCTCTAATCACGTAACCAATTAGAAGGTACCAGTGAAACCAGGCCTGGCTCGGCATGATGCTTTCCTACTCACAAAACCTCATGTCTGTAACCTATGATCATGCAACAGAGTAGCACGTCACTGGCAAGCTTCACCGGCCACCGGCACTCTACTGTGCACACAGAGAACTATGAAAATTAGAACTAGGTCCATGGCCGTCAAGCCTGTCATCAGGTTCGACCAGAAACTGCCATAGGCTGCACTGTGCAATTGTAATTCTAGCTAAGAGTCTAAGAGTCCCTCCTTCTCTTGGCGCCTTTCTGAGGGGTGGCCAAGTCTAGCACCAAGATCCGACTCGGCTGCTTCCGCAAAAATTCTGCAGGCCACGTTTGGGCTGGTTTTGCACCTACCACAACTGTAGCCGCAGGAGATTGCTTGCCTCGCAGTCTTGTCCTGATGTTGGATGTCCGTGGCACAGTCTTTGGTGGAGTCTTGACGAACTCCGAGAACGCCTCGCCATCTGAAAAGAAAAGCTCTTCCAATGGGTCTGATCTCCCCCCATCTTGGCCAAACTGCTGCGAGGTTTTCTCTCCGGGTGTCGCGGAAGTCTCTGATCTCCCCCCATCAAGGCCAAACTGCTGCGAGGTTTTCTCTCCGGGTGTCGCGGAAGTCTCTGATCTCCCCCCATCAAGGCCAAACTGCTGCGAGGTTTTCTCTCCGGGTGTCGCGGAAGTCTCTGATCTCCCCCCATCAAGGCCAAACTGCTGCGAGGTTTTCTTTCTCCGTCTCGTGGTGGGAGTCTGTGATCTCCCCTGACGAAGGCCAAACTGCTGCGAGGTTTTCTTTACCGGTGTCGTGGCGGGAGTCTGTGATCTCCCCGGACGAAGGCCAAACTGCTGTGAGGTTTTCTCTCCGGGTGTCGTGGCGGGAGTCTGTGATCTCCCCCCATCAAGGCCGAACTGTTGTGGGGTTTTGTGGCAAATGTTCAGAGCCTCTGTTGCCGAGCAAAGCGACCCGCCCAACAATTCCTCTGCCCCAGGCAACAACTCAAGCAACTGCTGGTCGGACAGGCTGTTGGGACCAGCCGGGCTCAACACACCGGTGAGATATGCCTCTCGGACCATGGGCATGAGCATGGAGGCCAGGTGTAACGGGTGGAAAGCATTCCCCGTGCCCCTGAGCAAAGCCGCCTTTGTTGGAAAGTGAAGGGCCAAACTCCCTTCATGGCCTTGGATCTTACATCTTTCCTCCAAGGAGAGGAAACGATGCAGTGTGTGCTCCGACCAGTGTTTGTCAACCTCGCTGGTCACCACCATGAAAATCGGAGGCCCTGTTGTTCGCAAAGCCATGCAGCGGTCATACATCAGCTTCTCCCCGAAAGCTTTCAAGGGACACCTGTCTAATTCGAACAAAGCAATTTGCCCTGCAGCACCCTTGGCAGCATCAATCCGTACTTGTTCCATGTAAGCAACCAGGTTGCACTGTTGGTTCTTGCTGAGTTTGATGGGGTTAAATGGCTGCACCCCAGTGTCCAGCAAGCTCTGTAGAGGGACATATCCTCCCAGGTCTTCCATCTGCAACGGTGCTGGCAGCTTGGATGCTAGCATTGCATCCCGACGCATTCCTCGCAACCAACATCTCTCCCTGGACTGTGGGAAAATTCGTGAGAGATCACTCTTGCATACTTCCCAGTGGAAGAAGGGTACCGAGATCTCCAACCGCCTCATGATCTCAGCAAGGAACGGACTTGTCAGCAGAAGGCTGCTGTTCTCTAGGACCACAATGCATAGCTGACCTCGCCATGCCTGCTCAATGACCATGGTGATGGTCTGGTCCATTACATCCGCACGGGGATCCTGACAGCCGGCTTTTTCTCCGGATGCCGACCAGGGCTGGCACGGAGGCCCTCCCACCAAGGCTTCACAGGTTTCCATTTCGAGCAGGGAGAGACTCAGAATGTCCCCCTGCAATGGGCCGATGTGAACCTTGGCCAAGGTATCCCCTGCCGCACTAGGTTCGTGCTTTTGCAGGCTGCGGTAGAAAGCCGCTAAGGCAATATCCGAATCGTAACCTGCGGTCGCTTCATACTGACCCCCGCAAGCCAGAATCAGACGACGGAGTCCGCCGATGCCGATACAGGGTTCACAGACCCGCAAGGGCCGTGACAGCAGCCGGAAAGGGCCGCCCAGCTTGTAAAGCATGTGCTCTAAGGACACCGCACGGCTAGTTTGTGCGGAAGCCATGCCAAAGGCAGGGGAGACACGGGGAGACTCTGTGAGCAAATGGCTGCTGTGCGCAACAATTGTTTGATCTGCACTGCAGCATGTGCAGCAGAAATCCTCACTTTATCATAGGAGCTGCCGCTGACTGACCCGGAATCACAAATTTTCGTTATCCTAGCAAGACACTAAACCCACACCCCAGACTGCGACTCGTTGACCTCGTCCTTAAACAAATCTGAAGCGACCTGAAAACCCCACAGTATTTCCCAGGTGTGTTTCTCTTGTCTCTGCAGCAAACGAAATTCTGTCGATGCAAGGGTTTGAACGCAAACCCGGCCATGCTCTTAGAATGTGCTGCAGTTCTTTCGAACCACAAAGCAAACTGAAGAGACCGGCAACTGGCGGCAACCACAAATGGACATCTTCATGAGTCTTCATGCTTCGTCTTTGTGGTGGCTCAGGTGGCGGGCCCTGATTCATTCTCGCCACCACAACCACCACCAGACTCCGTTTGTTACTTTCCAGCACCATTTCCAGGTGGGGGGCGGCGGAACTGGAGACCTGGACCTCTCAGCTCTGTCATTCCCCCCATTGCTCCCAGAACTGCTCTCGTTGCCGCCTTGCTCTCTCGCAGGGGATGGTGTCGCTTGACGACCTCGTTTGCCCATGACTATGGGAGGAGGCGTGCGTCTGTGAATTCGCTGGAGATACTGGCTTGAGAGAAGAACAACCTGCAGCTCAAGACCTCACGTCGTTGCCCCCAGAACAGCCACACTTCACGCACACAGTGCCCGTGCATGCTTGGACATGCACGTAATGCTACAAAGACTACAAAGCTGATGTGGTGTGAACACAACGAATATCAAATCTGACACGAGCATCAACATTCACGGAAAAACTAACCCGAAGTAACCAAAAGAACAAAAAACACAGACAACGACACCAGGTGACAAAAACACCAAAAAACTAGCCTCCGGAGGCGTCCGGCCGGACACGGGAGGCGTCCGGCCGGACACTCCGGGCGTCCGGCCGGACACCTGGAGGGACACCCCGGGCCTGGAAACAAGCAGGAAACGCTATGAAAAGGGACGGAACAGTGGACACCGGCGGCGGGACACGGCGGGACACGGCGGGACACGGCGGGACACGGCGGGACACGGCGGGACACGGCGGGACGGGACCGGCGGGACACCGGCGGGACACCGGCGGGACACCGGCGGGACACCGGCGGGACACCGGCGGGACACCGGCGGGACACCGGCGGGACACCGGCGGGACACCGGCGGGACACGGGCGGGACACGGGCGGGACACGGGCGGGACACGGGTGGCGCGACACACCAGGATACTGGCTTTGGTTGCACTGAAAGGATGCAATACATAGGAACCATGCGAAGTAAGAGTCGGCTCGCACATGGCAGGAGAATCTTTGTGCACATGCAGTGTTCTATGCACATTTGATGGCCTAATGATTCAAAGAAAGAGTCGCAGCCTATCATTGGAGAGTTTTGCGCTTCTAGCAACACATCGCGAGTGATTCACCAGCATGATTTATCATTGGAGGCCTATGCTACTTCAAACAGAACATGCTTGCACAACTGCACAACAAAGGTTTATCAAGCAGCTGAAAAACTTCTACACCCCGGCTTTGAACGAGGCATAGGTTGGAACAACTCAAGACTTTTGCAGCTCACAAACTAGCAGCTCTGAAGATCAACTCCGAAGGACTCTCAAGTCTCCCAGGCTGTTGCTGGCGGCTGCAACGGAGTGTCGTTGCGGTGAGGACAGGCAGGCATCTCCCGAGTACAACATCTTTATCCATGTCACACCTTATAAATGATATCTAAGCTTGAAGCAGCACTGCAAACCTTCTTCGAGGGAAATCGCCTTTGCACAAAACCCAAGCCGAGATCATTGGCACGGTGGCTCCCGGATAAAACACACCTTTAAGCATGTATCACCCTGTACCTAATAATTTAAAAGGTATATAGGGGGGAATGCACACTTTCTTTCAGGGAGCTCACCGACTCATGAAACTCGAGCTCGAGCTCACTGCCGCTGCACTGCCAAGTGAAACCTACAAGCGGCTACAGGATCTTCTCGCCCAAGGCCAGCAGCCTCTCGAAGACCCGCAGCTTTCCGGATTCACCAGCACCTTCAGACGTGGTCGCAGCTGCCTGTGGCTCAGCTGCTGGCGCCGCCTGTGTGCCAAAAGTCTGAAGCCTTTCGCTGCGGTCCTCCGAGTCCACTCGAGAGCTGGGGCCGGAGCGCCGTGCTGAGAGTAGGGAGCCACGGCTGCGGCTGCGGAGCTGGATCGGGCTCTGGCGGGACCGACTGCTCTCGGGAGTCTCATCTCGATGCCGCTCCTTCCCTCGAGTCGAGCGAATCTCCCGAGGCCTCTCCTGCCGCTCGCGAGGCCTCTCCTGCCGCTCGCGAGGCCGCTCCTGCCGCTGAGGCCGCTCCTGCCGCTGAGGCCGCTCCGGTCGCTGCTGAGGCCGCTCCGGTCGCTGAGGCCGCTCCGGCCGCTGAGGCCGCTCCGGCCGCTCCGGCCGCTCCGGCCGCTCCGGCGCCCACACCGGCCGCTCCGGCGCCCGCACCGGCCGCTCCGGAGGTTCGTTTGGTCGTTGCGACCCACAGCCCTGTTCATGCTGATCTTTGTCCGCCTCTTGGAAAAAGGATTTGCCGCAAAAGCGGCAGCTGTAATCCTTTTTCGGCTTCTCGTTCTTTTGATATGCCAAGCAAGCACTGCTGCTAAGCAAATGCAGATAGAGGGTATTGCGAGGCTTCGTCAACCAGCACACCGGACATCGAACCCTTTCGTCCGCTCCACGGACGTCCCAGACCGGCAGCTTCGATATGTAGAAGGGAGCGACCCCAGGATAGGGGCCATAGGGACCGTCCTTGCTCCGCCGCTTCTGGGCTGTCTCCGGAACTGGCGGCGGCGGTGGCTCTTCTGCCGCCTGATTGCTTGCCTGAGCTGGCTCCGGCTCAGGCGGCTCAGGCGTCTCGTCCCTCGCTGGAGCCGGAGCCTTCGACTTCGACTTCGTCTTCTCTGCTTTCTTGTCCTTGTGCCGCTGCCGCTCCAGCTTTTTGTCTTTTCGTGCTGTTTTGTTTCGGCTGCGCCGACTGCGGCTTTTGCGGCTGTGGCTCCGTGTCGCAGTCTTGGTCCTGCGGCTGCGGCGGCTGCGGCCCCGGCTTTTGTCTTTACGGCTCGGGCTTCTCTTGCGGCTGCGGCCACCGCGGCTCGGGGTTCTCTTGTGGCCAACACCCTTCTCACTATCCGACGCCTCTGGGTCCCTCTCCCTTGGCTCCGGATGGGCCCCTGAATCCACAGACACTGCCGTGGATTCCGCCACTTCAACAACAGCAGCACTGTTCTTGGGTGCTTCGGGCTCGCTCTCGTTCTCGTAGCTGCTGCTGTAGTACTCCGAGCTCACAAGCTTCTTCGCGGGAGCCTGCGGTGGTGGTGGTGGCGGCGGTGCTGCAACCAACCTGCGAACAGGGTATCTTTTACGAAATGCTCATTTCCGGCTCGCTCGACGTAGTTCTATCTTAATTAAACTTATAGCTAGGCTACACACGGGCATGCAGAAGACCTGTTAGGCACGGGCCCCACCGCCGCCTGCACGCCAAGCTGCCCGGGCGCCCTGACAGCACTCCCAGGCCAGCTCAGCGCCGACTGCACGGTGTGCTCGGCCCCACCGCCACCGCCGCCTGCACGCCACTGACGGGCACTCCCGGGCCAGCTCAGCACCGACTGCACGGTGCTTTGCTCAACCTCACTTCTGAGTCCTCGCACCACCACGAGCCGCCACCGCCGCCTGCACGCCGAGCTGCCCGGGCTCCCTGCTGGGCACTCCCAGGCCAGCTCAGCGCCGACTGCACGGTAACAAGCCCGCCCGCTGCCAGGCACTCCCAGGCCAGCTCAGCGCCGATTGCACGGCCTGTACCAACCTCGCCTACTGTACGATGACTTCCTTTAAAATAACATAAAAACAACTGCCAGACCCCACTTGAACATCTTATACACTTGGAGAACCAAGCCCACCTGCCTGGTCATCCGCTCCAGGAGGCCCTTCAAAGAGCCCATCGAATGAGCCAAAAAATGCTGCGGATGTCACACTGCATCAAACACACTTCAAGGCACAGACCCTACCCAGACCCATACAGAAGCACTGGGGTTTTCGGGCCCACACAAACGCACTGTTTTTGGGAGGCTCTGGGTGTCCGAGAATCTCTGAGAAATAAATGACAAGACAAACAAAAGGCTCAGACAAGATATGCTGTTGTCAAACTCCGCTCAAAACCTAGACTCTCGGGCTGCAAGCAGTCACTACTCTCTTTCTCTTCGTTTACAGAACGACCGGCTCTGAGAATCTGCCGAAGGCGAACCTGACAGGCTGTGACCCCTCAGACTGGTAGCAGTCTGCCGGGTCAGACCCCCAACCGCTGCCTTTCCTCCATGGATTGCACAGCAGTGTCACTGGGGTTGTGTTTCACATGCTGTTCTGCATCATCGAAACGGGGCCCATGGGAAGCCCATGCTAAGAGCCACGCAACTGCCTCATCCTGGTCCCTGTGATTTTTCACAATAAAGGTGTATCGTCTGCAATCGGCATGCTGCAAACACTGGCAGAAAGCACGACGGTGGCCGCTCTGGTGTGTGAAATTGTCAAAATAGATGACGAGATCTTCGAGCCCCGCCACCCGGCATTTCACGCGAGGCTCAACGGGAAGCTCCAGAGCGAGTCGCAATGGCTCTTGGGTGCTTGCTTTCGCCCTGCTGCCAGTATGACGTGGAGCACTACGTGTTGCCTTTCGTTTCTTGTCCCGAAACTCACGGCACTGCTGCACTGTCCATTCCTGGACACCTGTCAAGTCCGGTGCTTTTAGTAGCATCTGGTAGTAGTCAGCACTGCCGCCATGACAGATCCTTCGCAGATCGCCAGGCTTCTGCCAAATGCTGTCTTCCAGTGCCAAACAAACAAGGTGAGGCTCACAGGAATCCAGAAGGTTGGCAGG